ACATTTATTGTTAAATGAAAATAAAGGAAATTTATTACTGTATACGGTACGGTAGTCTGGTAGTTGTCAACACAAACCAGACAAACTGTGAATCCTACAATATCAAGAATTTACTCATTTATTCAATGACAATCATGTCATCATCTTCTGGAACATCATCATAACAATCCAATTCCCTGAATTTCCTGGTGAATTTCTTGTGACTCCATTTCTTTCAGAATCAGTGGACCAAATCTCTCATGTTTAGCCTAGGGGGGCCTTATTTTTTGGGGGGATGCCTTATATTTCACTCAGAAGGAAACCTGTAAGTAGGTCTTATTTTCGGAGGATGTCTTATTTTTCGGGGAAACAAGGTAGTGTTTAGGGAATACTCCTAAACCCCTTGGCTATTGATTCTCAGTTAATTCTACTTCATCCTCTCTTGCTTTTAAGCTACTTATCAAATGCTTTTGTGACATCCTTTTGATATAAGCCCATCAAATCCAGTCTTCCCTGTTATTCTTCTGAATGAAAATCAAGGCCAGGGGCAATAGTGAGGTTTATTTACCTAAGATCTCTTACTAGTGTGGATTTTAGTGGGGAAAAAAATTAACATGTTCCAACATTGTTGAAAAAAAATTTAAACTATACAAACAAGAGAAACTTGTTTGTACAGATATATGGTATTTTTATTATTTTAACCCCTTCTGTTGAAAACTAAACATAAAAAAAAATTCCTAGAAGAAATCAGGTACAGAATTTCCTAAGACAACTAATAGAACAACATAATGTATTATACATATCAATGACCTTTTCATTTTATTCTTATTTTATAATTTTTTATTGTCTAAAGTTTTACTAATGCCTCCTTTCCCCCTAATTATCAATGACCTTTTTAAATAGAATATATACAACCATCTCTTGTAATGTTTTCAACTAAACCATATTAGTTTATCACCTTATTACCCACTGATAATCCAGTCTCTTCATGCTCTTTAAGACAGTGTGACATACTAAAACTACAGAACCATTCAGTTGTGATTTTGCTCTTATGTATGCTAAGTGTTCCCTTGTAACAATTTTCCTTTTCTGTGAACTGCCTGATCCTATCCTTTTTACATTTCTTATTGGTTTCTTGGTCATTTTACTGTTTTGCAAAAGCACTTTGTATTAGGATTTTACCTCTGATATAATTTGCAAAAATTTCTTCCAGTGAATAAATAAAAAAGGTAAGTGATATTAAGCATGTTATTTACCTTAGGAGCCTCTGATTAAATAACTTGATAATTTAATAAATGGATGACATGGAAATAGTGCCATCTATTTCACAGGCAGGACTGTGATCATTTTAAAAGATAGCACATAAAAAAATTCAGCTCAGCTAGTCAGAAACTAGTATGTGGTCAATATTCTGCACATATTTCTGGGGTACCTAATATGTAACAGTTACTTTCTTTTTACCTTCATGAGTCATTTCTATTGCATAGCATCTATAAATTAGTTGCATCATATAAGTTTCTTCTCATTTTTATTTCACATAATTGTTCTTTCAAAAAACAGAAATATTAGAAAGTTAATTTTTCTATGAAATGCTTTAGAATAACTATATTATTAAAGTACTACTCACTGGGATTGACATTCTTTCTACTTTGAAAAGTCATATTCTAGGTGAGAACAATAAAAATATGCTAGAAAATCCAAATTAATGTATGTGATTAATAACTTTTGACAATATGTACATTAATATGAAATCTGAAAGATGTTATTACTCTGTTTCCATTTCAGATCAATATTTCTAAATCTTTAGAACATCTTAGAAATCTTACTAAAACACTAATTACAAATAATACCATTTTGCTTTTAAATAACAAATGTTATCTATTTTCCTTCTAATCTCCAGAGAAATCTTTCATATTCTATCTAGGGCACACAGACTTGCTGTAGGAGGCATTAAACCCCTTTCTATCCAATGTAGCAATCATGAGGTTCTCTCCCGCTAAGCCCTCACTCCCTTTTAAGATCCTTCTCAACAAAGTATTCCATGTAGTTAGACTTGATGATTGGGTAGAAACAAAACCCATGAACCAGAAGTCAAATAAAATTCATATGAATCATAAAACTTTTTATCTAAAAACAATACCCCAAAAGTCCAATAAGTGGATAATGTTTCTATAGTAAATATATATCACAAAACTTATGGGAATAATTATCAATTAAAAGCAACTGTTAAATAATGCACTATTCTCTACATGTGAATATTATTATCTAATATCCAAATATCTACTTATAGTGATTTTTCAATTCTTTATAACTATATCTCTCTTTTTAAAAAAATATATTTTATTGATTTTGTACAGAGAGGAAGGGAAATAGAGAGTTAGAAACAGCAATGAGAGAGAGTCATTGATCAGCTGCCTCTTGCACACCCCCTACTGGGGATCTGCCTGCAACCAAGGTACATGCCCTTGACCGGAATCGAACCTACGACCCTTCAGTCCCCAAGCCGACGCTCTATCCATTGAGCCAAACCAGTCCCGGCTGTAACTATATCTCTTTTGTCATTAAGGTAAATAAAGACATTCAATCATTCAACAGTGAAAACTGTGCAGTTCAACCACATCCACTTAATTCTTATACATGCCAGAAGAAAATTACACAATTGTTTTTCAACTAAAAAGTAAGGCCCAAGGACTTTAATTAAAATACAGTTCTCCAGATGAAAAGTTTTTGTAGTGAAAATAAAAAGCACAACCACAGAGTAACTAAACTAAACCTTAGCAACAAAAAACTCTTGTAAGCTGTTAGACCTGATATTTCAGTGTTTTAATCAATAATTCTAAGAAAGGAAAACAAAACAAATTAGGAAATCAAAGTTAAACAATTTTCTATTATAAAATGATCACACTGCCAAAATAAAAGTTCAAAATAAACAACAGTCATTTTTCTCCTTAAGCAATATAAGCTCTATACCATTAAACTTGCCTAGGAAACTTTAGGATCTTGGACATATACATTGACTTGCTTAGGAGAAAAATGCACAGTGTGCCTATACCAGTTTGTACTTGCAATCCTTCATAAGGATTGTAGAGACAATGCCTGGAGACCACTGTTTTTAAAAAGTCAATTATTTTAGGGTATTTAGCTTCTAAATGTGACACTTCTACCTCAAAGGCTTCAAAGAAGAGGGCACAGCACACCCTCAAAAATGCATCACGACATAAATCCTTTAAGTGTAGCAATCCAAATATTTTTATTCAAAACCCAGATCTTATCATCCCAGGTATAGAACGTGCCCAGCTACGCAGACCTCACGTTTTAAGTCACATGGGAAGTGCAGTGTGATAATCACAGTATCTAAAACCACTCAACCCTCTTGTCACTGTGACTCAAGGAGATCTGGCATCTGATTTGGGGCGAGTGTAGGCAAGTTGGTCCTGGCTTTTCCTTTTAATTCAGCAACCTCTACTTACCTCTATTGAAATGCTGTTCCATAAAGGAAGCAGACTATTGTAGTGTTTAAAGGGGGCTCTTGGGTGTGGATATATAGGAGATTCGGGTATTAAAATTTTCAACAAAAAAGAGGGAGAAAAAAGAAAGGGAGTGAAAAAAGGAAGAAAGGGAAAAGGGAAGAGAGGCAGAGAATAGGATTTCAAGTCAAACAGACCAGGGTTAGAATCTTAGCTCTGTAACTTTTTAGCAGTGTGGCCTTGTTGAATCCCTTATCTGTAAAAGTGGGATGATAACAGTCCCTGTTAGGAGATTTGGATGAAATAACATATGGATAGCACTTAGAATACCTAACCCATAGAAAGTTATCCAAACATTAACTGTTCTATGTAATTATTATTTTTATTGTAATCAAATGTTTGTCAGTTTCATGAGCCATAGCTTTTTCCTTATTCTACTTAGGAAGATATTTAGTTCTTCAACAACAGGATATAACCTTGAAAAACTAAGAAAAATAACTGAAATCAAGAAATATGTAGTTTTGAATCAATAGTTTTCTAGGGATTTAACGTCATATAAGGTAACTAAAGACCCAGTGCATGATATTCATGCACTGGGGGTAGGGGTGTCCCTTTAGCCTAGCCTGAACCCTCTCACAGTCCAGGACCTCTCTGGAGATGTCCAAGCAGGCCTAAGCCGGCAGGCAGACATCCCCTAGGGGTCCTCAGCACTGCTGTAGAGACGGAGAGGCTCCAACCATCACCACTGCGCTTGCCAGCCATGAGCTAGCTTCTGCATTGAGCATCTTGCCCCTGATGGTCAGTGCCTGTCATAGCGACCTGTTGTTCCGCCAGTCAATCAATTTGCATATTAGGGTTTTATTATATAGAGTAAGCATGGCCTCAAGAGCCAGAGTGCCTGGGTCTGAAACCCAAGATTCTGGCTGTGTGACTTTTAACAAGGATTTACTCTGTAACTCACTTTCTTTCTGTTAACTGGGGGTGACAACATTCCCTTAGGGCTGTGGTGAGGATTAAATGAATTAATACATATAAACTGCTTATGATAGAGCCTGGGACTTAGTAAGTGCTAGGTAAATGTTAACTTGGACTTAGTTGTTACTAATTCTCACCAAAACCATGTTTACCACCCCAAAATTGGCCACTGTTAAACCAAGCTACTCACTAGAGTGACTACACTGGGAGACTATCATTGGGAAATTTGTGAGCTCTAAGTCTGAACTAAACCCTTACCTTACTACTCATCAGTTCTCTATATACACAAACTTGGTCACCTACCTATAAATTCTACATATCAGAGCCTACATATCTGCTACATTACTGGCACAATCCGGACATATTACAGCTGTGTGTGCCTGTGTGCGCACACCACGCTTAGAGGGAAGATCTCTGAGTGGTGGATACGTGAAGTTTTTACTTTTACTCGTCTGCATTTTCTAATTTTCTGCCACGCACCTATATTGCTTCTATAATAATAAAATGTTATTTTAAAACGTGGAAATGAAAGAAGCTCATATTTCTCTAAGGAAAAAAAAAGTCCCACAGATTCCATACCTGTATTTATGAATGATGGCATTGAACAGTTTTCCATCTCTCCAGCAGGTGGTGAAATTTTCGCAACGTATGCCAGCATAACCCTCCGTTGCCTGCTGTGTCCAGAGCAGCAACCTCTCTTTTGCAGACATATCCTCTGACTCTCCAGTAACATGGATATCAGATATCTAAAAAAAAAAGGGAAGTGTTCAATCATTAAGAAGGAAGGAAGCTAACTCAGATAAAGGACCTACTATGTACCAAGCAGTGTGCTAGTGCTACTTTACTTAATCCTCATAACCCTCACTTGTAAGCTAGGTCTATTTCCCCCATTTGTATCTAGGGAAACTGAGTTTCAAAGAAGTTAATAGATTGGAAAAGTTGGATTAAATCTAAGCATCTAATTTTTATGTAATATCCAAATGTCACAACATTAAAAATAAATCTACATTCCTCTTGATTAATCAGATCTGTTCAAACAACTCAAGCAAATGCTTTTCCATGTTTAAGTGGATCAAAGTAAAACGTACAAATAATCTACATTACTACCTGCAGCACAAAGATCCAACAGGTATTTTTCAAAGATGGCAAGACAGGACCCTCTCCAATGAACTATATTGCATAACCACTTGGCCTAAAGGTTCACTCATTTTCATATGAGTCCTTGCTCAGCCTATTCAACATGACACCTTTAACACCTGATTGCTTTCCCTATACTTTTTTGCTTTCATTAAATTTTCTAAAACTCTCTTCAGTTAAATAATAGAAACCAGTTCACCAGCTCACGTGATTTACATTCCCTTAAGGAGCTCTTTGGTAAGGTTCTTCCTTAATCTGCTGATAATGATATTAAGGCACCAGGAGACTTGAGCCGGGGTCACCCAGTAATTCCAAAGCTGGGATTAACATCAACAAACAACTGTTCCCTTATCCAGTGCAGGACGCAAAGCCAAGGGATCAGGAAAACAGCAAGCCAGGGTCAGGACAAGCAAATAAGAGATTGGAAGCAGCCAAAACCGGTTTGGCTCAGTGGGTAGAGCGTCGGCCTGCAGACTGAAAGGTCCCAGGTTCGATTCCGGTTAAGGGCATGTACCTTGGTTGTGGGCACATCCCTAGTGAGGGGTGTACAGGAGGCAGCTGATCGATGTTTCTCTCTCATCAATGTTTCTAATTCTTTATCCCTCTCCCTTCCTCTCTAAAAAAAGAAAAAAAAATCAATAAAATATATTTTTAAAAAAAAGAGATTGGAAGCAAGACATAGGGAGATACAAGTCATGTAGTAACAAGTCACTTAGTAATAAAAAAATAAATCACTGGAGTCACAAGATTGGCTTCTATCCTGGCCACTAGTCTCACGGCTTTGAATAATTCATATCATGTGTGAGTCAACTTCTTCATCGATGAATGAGGAAGTAGGAGGCAGGAGCAGATAACATTTAAGATTTTTTCAGTGTTAAAGTGTTACTAGGAGATTATAGATACAACACAGAAGCCAGAGATCAAAACAGGCAGAATGGAGCAACTGAAAGCAGAGAATTTGAAAAAACACACAAAATTAAAGAAAGCCTTTAGTCACCGTGGCAATGCCAAGCTCCAACAGGAAGCCCTTTATTTCTCCCAGATGCCACAAGAGCCAGAGGCGTGGCCAACCCAGGGACCTGGGGCACGTAGGCTGCAGCAGTTGAAGGCCACAGTAGGCCTGGCAGGCCCTACCGCCAGGACTCGGAGAGGATAGCCACCCTCGGTCTTTCTCCAGCACTCAGCCAGAGACGTGCTCCTGGACAAGTGGCAGGCTTTTAATCATCTTTCCTAGGGGTCTGTGTTAACATCAGCAACATGGAAAAGAGCTAGGTTCGTGAACACACTATATAGAATTTATAGTAGGAATGTCTTTCCTTTTTTTCTAATTTATTTTCTAAAGAAGGAGGAAGGAGAAGCGAGAGCGAAAAAGAGGGGTGGGTCAGAGAGAGAAACAGAGACAGAGAAACACCATAATGCACCTCAACCAGGGATCAAACCCACAACCTAGGCAAGTGCTCTGTCCAGGAATCAAACCCATGACTTTCTGGTGCACAGGATGATGCTCTAACCAACAGAGCCACATCACCAAGGCTCTGTCTTTTTTTCTAACGTGGACAAAAAGACCTCAAAAAATTACCAATATTTTTCTTCCCAACATCCAACTGATATTCTAGATTAAAATTATGCTGGGAACTTTGCAAGCACATTGTGTAAGTTTAAATCCCATCTCCACCACTTACACGTTCAAATGACTTAGCTGCTTTCACTGTTCCCTCACTTGTGAAAGAATGATGGCAATAATTATGACAGTATGTTGTGAGAATTTAACAAGTGAGCACAGTGGAATGCCTGGTGTGAAGTAAGTGCAGGCTGGACATGTCACCTATTTTACTGTTTTGGTTATTGGTCTTTTTGACAAAGGGAGAAGTACAAACGTGGCTCTGTTGTTCTCCCAATTCTCTCTGTGTAAAAGAGGAGTAAAAGATAAAGCTCTTAAGTTTGCTGCATCAAAATAATCAAAATCTATCAGCAGGAGGGCTCAGAGAAACTAACCTCGGAAACTGCAAATGAAAAAGCTGAGGCTCTCAGGTAAAATTCCACAAGTCCCTCCTAACCTTCACAAGTTATGAAATCAACTGCCTGGGGGAACCTTGCCTTGCAGGAGCTACCTGGGTGGTATTTACAGCTATATAAAGACAAAGCAGATAGCTGGGAAGGGGGAGGGCACTTCCTCCTGGGTCAGGAACATTCCATGCCAGTTCAGTCACAAAAGTAATTACCTAGTAACAAGGGAAGTCCAAGTCGGTAAATTTCAACTGCAAGGTACCAATTTAAGTTTAATAGGTTAAAGCGCTAAACAGTATTTTACCCAAGCAACGCAACGGTATCAAAGGAGGAAACGTTTAGAACTCTGAAAATAGTCTGAATACAAACCAAGGGAAAATCACATACTCTCATTAAATAAGTTTCCAATAGATGGATTTCGGATTGTTACACGCGCACGCACACACACACACACACACACACACACACACACACACACAAATTTAGTGTTACACATGCATACACTATTAAAAGGCTATACTTTAAAAATGGCTATTAATATTTCCAATTAGCTGAAGATAATCTCCACGTGGAGATGTAAGGTATTTTCCCGCTTTTTATTGAATGTTCTAGAGGCCCAGTGCATGAAATTTGTGAATGGGAGGGGTTTGGGGTTGTATCCCTCAGCCCAGCCTGCACCCTCTCCAATCTGGGATCCCTCTCACAATGCAGGACTGCTGCCAGCTCGCCTGCCTCCCTGCCTAATTGCTCCTAACTGATTCTGCCTGTCAGCCTGATCACCCCATTACCACTCTCCTGCCAGCCTGATAGATGCCTAACTGTTCCCTACTTGCCTGATTGCCCCTAACTGCCCTCCCCTGCTGGCCTGTTCCCCCTAACTGCCCTCCCTTGCAGGCCTGGTCCCTCCCAATTGCCCTCCCCTGCCGGCCATCTTGTGGCAGCCATCTTGTGTTGGAGTGATGGTCAATTTGCATACTATCTCTTTATTATATAGGATGGGGATAGCACTGGTTAATGAAATTATACACGTTTCAGGTGCACAATTCTACAACATGTATCTGTATACTGTATTGTGTGTTCACTATGTCCAGGGCAAGCCTTCTTCCATCTCCATTTGCACCCTGATACCCTCCTCTACATTCCTTCTCCCCCAATGTCACCACACTGTTATGCCTGTCCATGAGTTTTTTCTCTCTTTTTTTCTTTTTTGTTCAATCCCTCCATTCTCCCCTTCAAATCCCCCCCCAAAACACACACACACACACACACACACACACACACACACACACAAAAAAACAAATATACTGTACCATTAGCCACTATCTATAGACTCTATCAAACCATAGATAGTTTGTGACACCATGCAGCCAAAAAGAAAAATAAATGCTAATGACTATAAATCTGCTCTTGTTATCCATGATCCTTGGTATAAAATTAGCAAGACAGCCTGCATCCTCCAGCAATAGCAGGTCAGGTTGGGTTCTAGGAAGTAACCAAGACTCCTTCCGTCAAGTCCTGGAGGCAATCCAGTGATGACGAGAGAGGGTTTCAATTCAATGCTGCCTGGGTTCACATCCCATTCGCCAACAGTTATTTTTTCAATTTTATTTTTCAATTACAGTTGACATTCAGTATTTCTCTGAATTCCTGTCAGGTATACAGCATAGCAGTGAGACAGTCAAATACTTGACAAAGTGGTCCACCCAATAATCCTTTTGCAATACTTTACATCCCCGTGACTATTTTCTAACTACCAATTTGTAACTTCTTAATCCCTTTACCTTTCCACCAAGCCCCCAAATCCCATCTCCTCTGCCAGCCATCAATCTGTTCTATGTATCTATGAGTCTGTTTCTATTTTGCTTGTTCGTTTATTTTGTTCATTAGATTCCAGATGTAAGTGAAACCACATGTATCTGTCTTTCTCTGTCTGAGTGACTTCACATAGGAAATAATAGCCTCTAGGTCTACCCATACTGTCACAAATGGTAAGATTTCATTCTTTTTATGGCCAAGTAGTACTCCACTGTCTATGTGTGTCACATCTTCTTCATCCACTCGTCTATTGATGGGCACTTGAGTTGCTTCCATATCTTGGCTATTGTAAATAACTCTGCAATGAACACAGACGTGCATATATTCTTTCAAATTAGTGTTTTGGGTTTCTTTGGCAATATAGCCAAAGTGGAATCGCTGGGTCTTTTTTAATTTTTTGAGGTATCTCCATACTGCTTTCCACAGTGACTGCACAATCTACATTCCCACCAACAGTGGCTGAGGGTTCCCTATTCTCCACATCCTAATCAATAGTTGTTTGTTGATTTATAGATGACAGCCATTCTGACAGGTATGAGGTGATATCTCACTATGGTTTTAATTTGCATTTCTCTGATGATTACTGACATTGAGCATCTTTTCAGATGTCTACTAAGGGCCCAGTGCACCTTGAAAGAAACTGTGGGCCATGAGGCTGCCGTGGGCACAGGGGTGGGTCCCAGTCCATTCTCAGAACCCTTGCCTGGCCCCTCCTGCAGTGGCCCTCAGTCCCACCTGCTCCATCTTTGGCAGCCCCGCACCCGCTGCTGCTGCTCCCAAGCCAGGC